GCTCAGATGCACACAACCAGGATTTTATGAGACCGGAAGCCTGGCGGTGCTCGCCAGCCGCCTCCCTTGCGCGTGCCCTGCAGACCCCAGGACTTGGTCCAGGAGAGTTGCAGCCAGCAGGGGTTCAGCGTTGGGGGCTCCTGCTGTGCTCTCAAGGCCAGTGTCGGGGCTCCCAGGCCTTCATTTGGCCCCCACGCGCCCCCAGGGGGATCGAGGGCCTGGGAGGAAGCGGGCCCCGGCCCTGGAGGAGCCGAGGCCTGGGGCCAGGGTTGGGCCTTTCAAGCCCAGCAGGAGCCCCCGCCTGGAACCGTTCAGATCCCCGGTGCCGGGTGGGGCACTCCCGGGTTCGAATTTTGCTCTGTTCCATGCTGCTTGTGAGATATGGGACAAGTCACCGCACCTCTCCGAGTGGAGTTGCTCACCGAACACGTGGAATAATAGGCCCTGCGGGGTACAGGGCGGTGCGACCTCGCTTCGGCCCAGTGGGCACGCTCCAGGCGAAGGGCTCCTCGCAGGAAGACCGAGAGGAAAGCCCAGACTCAACCGCCTGTGAGGAATTCTTAGCTGCGTAACTGTGCCTGGTCCCTGGCCTGGCTTAGGCTTGATCCGTGGCTTTGCCCACGGAAAGGGATCGTTTTATCTCGACAGGAACGGCACACTCGGCTGTGCGTGCGGCTGAGGGTCTTAACCAGAGGGACCTGTGAGTTGATCTGGAGGAAGATGTGTGTTTGTGTACAAGTGTGTGCCGACCCACGAACCGGAGCGTCTGTGGTTGCGCGGGGAAGAAGAGTCGGGCAGCCTGCTGGACCCTTCTCCCACAGGCGCCTTCCCCGTCTTCCCGCGCCCCCTTCCCGGGTGAAGTTTAAGCCAAACTAACGGAATCCAGCGCGACTTGGGAAGAGGTGGGGGCGGGAGGGGCGATTCCGTCCCGGAGCCACCGGTTTGGGGATAATTACTTTTAATGTCAGAAAGATTTAGTTTAATATCATCTCTATTAGGCTGCCGGGAGGGTAATTAAACGGGACGCGTCGCAGCCGGCAAACAGATGGCGTCTGCTTGCTCCGAGGCCGCGGGCAAACAGCGCAAAAGTCAACGCCTCCCAGGTCCCAGTCGGTGCCCCCAGCCCTGCTCCGAGGCTCCCACCCCCGCCCCACCCCGGACCCCAGCGCTGCTGGGTGTGGGGTGGGGGTGGACGAGCTTGGTCCTGAAGAAGGGTTAGGGACATTTTCTTGGCTGGGTCCTCTCGCCCTGGGCCCCCAACCTTGGGCACATCAGAGGCGTCAGCAAAAGACGCTGGGCTAAGAGCAAGTGTGTGAGTGCTGCACGTGCGTGAAGACCGACCGGTCCTTCGCTCTCGGCTGGGCTGCCTCGTTTGTCCCGAAGATCTCTGGCTTTCTCTGCCACAGGCCTGGCCGCAGGGCTGGGGTCTGAAGCTTCATGGGCAATGCAAGGTGAACGTGGAGAGGGTGTGCCCTGTCTGGCTGCGCAGTCACCTGAGGTGGGAGTCTGTGGGGTCACTCACCAAGTGGAGGCCCTAGCAGGAGAATTTCAGAGGTCAAACTTTCTGAAGGGCTCCTTGGGCGGTAGGACAGTGTCAGAGGCGAGCATACCCCGTACGCGCTCGCCTCACGTGTGTGTCCAAACTTCTGCAGTGAAATCGTGCGCACCAACGTCTGGGTGTGAATCCACCCTCAGGTGTGGGTGGCCCCCCTTTCCTCAGCCTAGGTATGGTCCCCCACAGCTGGCGGCTTCTCTGGACCCACTCCGGTCCTCTCCCCGACCGGATCAAATCAGGAGGGAAGGGCCGAAGAAGCTGGGCAGAGGCATCTACCCTGTCCAAGTGTGGGCACAGTGACCTATGTCTGGGTTGGGTATTCTGCCTCCCTGCAGAACACATTCACTTGGATGAGCACCCCAACTTCGAAGGGAGCGAGAGGAAAGGTTGTGGGGCTGGGACCTGTGGGGATGTGATGTGAACGCGAGGAAAGAGGATCCAAAGACAGAGGCAACAGAACTAGGGGAGAGAGATTCGCTAGGCCTTGCTGGGAGGGGTCCATGCTGGGCCCCTACTCCTCCTAAGAAAAGGAGGTCCTTACACCTCCGCGGGAGAGCTCTGGTACCCGGTCCCTTTGGTTGGACCCCTGGCTCCCGCGAGTGCATCGCGACCGAAAAGAGGGAATCTCAGTAGCCTGGCCTCAAACGAGAGAAAAGATACCTGGGCCACCATCCTCCTGCAACCGAAGCGGATTTGTTTAATTTATTTCGTTGTGAGTTTAAAATAATTTCCTGAAAACTTTGTGGGAAAGGCTGTGGGAACAGGCGCCCAGGACCCCCGCTCGAATCCCCGGCGCTGAAGGGATCCTCCCAGCGCCGCCCCCCACCCCCCGGCCGCCCGGGGCGCCGCTGTCGCAGGGATCTACTCAGCCGGGTCCTGCTCTCCGGGCGGACCTTTTACCCCCAATGCACCCCCTTAGCCTCGCTCCAGCGGGAAGACCATCCCTGGAGCTGAGCCTTTTCTCCCAAAGCCATTCCCAGGCTCCAGAGAGGACGGGATTTCCTGGGAGCCCGCGGCCCATCTCAGTCCCTATCGCAGGCTGTCCGGGATTCCTCGTCACTGGGCCCCTCAGCCCATTCAGCCTCGTCCTTTGGGGTGGCTTCCTCCAGGGGAGCGTGGCACTCTTGGGTGCGAGGTTTTGCGGCTGGTGGCGGGGCCCTGGCGGTCGCGCCTTCCTCCCCAGTCCCTGGCTCCGGGGCCGGAAGCAGCTCGGTCAGGGGGCGCGGGGCGCCGGGCCGGGCCCTCTCTGCGCTCGGAGTTTGTCCGCGCCTGAGCCAGACCCCTGCCTCCTGGGAGGGTCGAAGGAGCAACGTGAAAAAGTAAGGTTGGTGGTGGAAGGAGAACAACCAGGAAGCTCACTTCTCATTCAAATGATTTTTTGTTTTCACTCTGGAGAGAGAAAAGTGGAGAATAAAAATGAGAGTGACAGAACATTAGCTCATTAAAGGCAAAGACGACGGGGGGTGGGGGGTGGGGGGTGATAAAATCAGAGCTGGAGAAGCTGAGGGCAACCCCGACCCAAAGATCACAGCATTCATCCCGAATGTTGCCATCACAGGGGAAACAAAATTCGAAACCTGTTACCTCCTTGGCAGCCCGAGCTGCTCCCCCGTGACGTCAGTACAGGTAGTGCAAGGCCAGGCCAAAACCGCTCCTCGGACCGCGGAGACCTCGACTCCCGCCGGGAAGAACAGAGGGACGCGCGTCCACGGCCGAGGACGATCTAGGGAGACGCAGAGGCCGCTTTTTACTTTCGTTTGAAAACGACAAAAACTTTTCGTTAATTTAAAATAGCGACAATAAGAATCCCATCGCCACAGAAAAGAAAAGAGATGAAGAGAAATGGAGACGAAGGAAAGAGCCACAGGGGCTGGGGAAGACGTAGGGGGCAACGAGGGGAAGGCGCAGAGCGCAGGGTTGCGGTGGAATGGACTGGAAGCGCTGTCTCTTTTCTCCTCTCTGAGCTGCTCTTTTTAAAATGAAAATCCTAACCACAACTTACCCTCCGTGACGTACCAAGAGTTCTAAAATGAAGACACTGAGCTTTAAAGGCAGCTGGGGGGTGGGGGGTGGGGAGCCTCCAACTACCACACACGCGCCGGACTTGGGAGCTCAGTGAAACAGAGCCAGAAGGAGGGAGGAAGCAGCGGCTTGGCATTTATGCCACAAGCACCCTCCCATGCCCACCCTCACACCCCCCGCTCCACTCCCACCTCGACCTCGGTAATTGAATTGTCACCTGCCCCCGTCCCACCCCAGGCCGCCGGGGCCACTTGGGAAGCTTCGCTTTGCCAAGCGCCCCGGGCCAGTGAGAGTGGCTCAGCCTAGCCGGCGCCCCCGAAGCCGAGGGGTTACACACGTCTACGTAGAGAGACGCACCGGACACGGTAATTAGGAGCAATTCACAGCTCTCGGGCACACGGAAACTTCTTGTCACGATATTTTCAACGCTCCTGCTCGCCCACTTTTTTCCACTCCATCCCCGGCGCGCCCCCTCCCCTCCCAGAGGCGCACAGTGCAGCTCTTGGAGTTTCGAATCTTTCGGACACTGCAGGATGAGGGGCTCCCCGGGCGCGGGCCCGGCCAATCAGAGCGCTGTCTGCCTCCCCTGGCCAATGGCAGGCGCCACATTGTTGTCCAATTCTGTCTAATGGAGCCCTAAGGAGCAACAATAGAGCGGGCGAGCGGCTCATTGAGAGTCTGGCAGCGCCGAGCACTGGGCCCCGGTTGAGCGCAGCGTCCGGCGCACACGGCGAGGGGACGTGGCGCGGCGAGAGCTGGGTCGCGGGTTCCAAATAGCCGGCCCCCAGACGGGCCCCCGGCCCCGTTCCCGACTGGAGGGTTGGACCGCGCTGCGTTCTGAGGGGGTCCGGAAGTTCGGACATGGTGACCGAAGGAGGGTGACGTGGTCAGATAAGGGCCGGGGGCGAGGGGAAGAGGCAAAGAGTGCCAGCGTCAGGAGCCGAGCTGGGAGGCGCGTGCCGCGCCTGCAGAGGAGGATCCCGGAGCCCAAGGCAGGTAGTTGAGGGCTGCAGGGACAGCAGCGAGGGGCCGATCTGGCCCGCGGCCCCGGAGAGCCAGGCCTTCCAGGCCCTGCGGGCCTCGCTGACCGAGGGGCCTGAAAGGTCTGGGGAAGAGGCACCTGCGCCAAGGGAGGAGGTCTGAAATTCTCGGGCGGACGGAGACGCCAGGACTCAGTCCTAGGCTCCGTCGGGGACGGGGATAGGGAGGGGGAAGGTGGACAGAGAAGGCCGCGGCGGAAGCCAGGAGCTGGGCCCTGCGTGGGCCTTCTGGGTTTTTGGCGCAGGTGAGACTCCTGTGTCCTTCTTGGCCAGTTCGGGAGGCAGCTCCTCTGCCTCACTGCGGCCTGCGGAGCCATCCGAGTCCCAGGAATCCAGCTCAGAGACAAGAACTCGGAACCTGCGCTCCAGCGGGGTCCCGGGGGTGGGGGGTGGGGGGGTGAGTGTGTGCCAGGACTTGGAGGAGGGCGTGTCTGGCGACGGCATCCCTAAAGCGGGAGGGGTGGGGAGGGCAGTGTGAGGCTGTCGGAGAAAATATCCCCTTGGAGCAAAGCCTAACTTTTCGCCAGACACTTCCTTCCCAACTACTTCTCTAGACTACAAGGATCAAAACTGTACCACAGGCCTGGCCTTATACCCACCCCTATCTCGCTTTGCCTAAGCATTTTTCGTTTGTACTCAGATGCCTCCTCGAACACCCTGGGTCCCAAGCACCCTTATCAGCTGCTTTTTGATGTTTTCCTTGCCTTTCAAACTAATCTTTGGGCTGGGTTTGCCTTTCAAAGAAAGTTTCTTCTGCTGAATTTTCTCTTTACTCTATCTCAAGCCTTCTGAACTCAGCTCCACACCTGTTTTCTTTCCCTCTTTCCGCACAACGAGAATTTCCAGAGCTCACATTTTTATGGGCCAAGGCCTAACGTTGCCCCCAGTTTTGTTTTCTAGCCATCATTCTACTTTCAACAGAAAGCTATTATTTCTCTTCTTGATTTTTCTCTCGAACTTCTCTGGTCCCACCCACATTAAAGACAAAAACAAACAAAACCCTGGCCCAATCTGCTCAGCTCTACACCCCAACATCGCTCCCCTCATCTTCCTTCCACCAATTTGAATATTTTGCTCTGGGGTTTTCTTTGGCATCAATGTAACTGTTGGTCCAAATTTTTTTGTGTGTAATCCGAGTCCCATCAAGCAAACATTTCTCTCTTCCTGTGTCACCCCAATTAACCTAAACTTTTGGAGATATTTTCTTTTTCAAATTCTCCTTACGTTCAGCTGAACCAGTGACTTCCAAACTTTGTCTTTTTATTTTTTCCAGAGAAAATTATTCAAACGAAATCTTACCCCTGGCATGTAAATCATATATAAGAGCAGCTGTGATGGGAGTGCGGTGGGGGAGCTCGGATTTATGCGGAGCTTCCAAACCGAATGCACCTCCTCTCCACAGTTTGGCAACCTCTACCCAAACTTCGGAGGCCAAACTTCCCCTTTCGGAGCTTGGGTTCCTCGCTCTACGCTTCAGCCTAGGGCGCAGTGCTTTCCTCACTCAGATTTCTCTCTCCTTCCCACTTTCTTCCACATCAGGTCCTGTCATGGAGCTGCGCTCGGAGCTGCCCAGCGTGCCCGGCGCGGCGACCGCAGCAGCTACAGCGACGGGGCCGCCCGTGGCCTCTGTAGCGTCGGTGGCGGCGGCGGCGGCTGCAGCCGCCTCGCTACCCGTGAGCGTGGCGGGGGGCTTGCTGAGGGCGCCCCCGCTGCTTCTGCGGGCAGCAGAGAAATACCCGCGGACCCCGAAGTGCGCGCGCTGCCGCAACCACGGCGTGGTATCGGCGCTCAAGGGCCACAAGCGCTACTGTCGCTGGAAGGACTGCCTGTGCGCCAAGTGCACGCTCATCGCCGAGCGCCAGCGCGTCATGGCGGCGCAGGTGGCGCTGCGCAGACAGCAGGCGCAGGAGGAGAACGAGGCGCGCGAGCTGCAGCTGCTCTACGGCACTGCCGAGGGCCTGGCGCTGGCCGCCGCCAACGGCATCATCCCCCCGCGGCCCGCCTACGAGGTGTTTGGTTCCGTGTGCGCCGCCGACAGCGGAGGCCCGGGAGCCGGAGCGCCGGCGGGAACCGGAGGTGGCGCGGCGGGAGCAGGGGGCTCAGGTGAGAAAGAGCGCGGCCAGGTGGGCGGGGGCGAGGTCCGGAAGCTGGGGCAGGGATTTGTCTCTACAGAGGGTAGAGTCCCCTTCTTCAAATTCCCGGCTACTGGAGTTCAGCGCGCACCAGCTCCTAGGAGTGCATACACAAACTCCTTTCTCCTTCCCGAGCCTTTGCTCTGTATTCCTCTCTCTCCCTGCGGGCACAAGTGTAGCCGCTTTATCCTTACCTCCTCCACCCAGAGGCGGGCAGGTCCCTGCTTTTCTACTGTCTTTCTTCTGGTTCCCCCGGGTGGAAAACCTCGCGTCTTCTCCAGGATTCTGCGCATCTCCACGCGCCACTCTTCCCTCCCCCCGCCCCGCTCCTTCCCAACTCTTCGGAAACCCTAACTTCTTCAAGCGCCGCTTTCCCTAAGCTCCGTTCGTTTTCTCAGTGTGGCTCCTTTACTCGCGTTCCTAAAGCTCCGTGAACAGCCGAAGGCGGCGCTCCTTTCTTTCAAGTTGCTTTTTCCCACGCAAGTCCCGGTTTTCTCAGGACATGTGCTGTTCCCCTTCCCTAGATCCCTTTTCCTCGTTGCTGTCCACTCTTCCCAGACCCACCCTCTTCTTCTGGACTCCTGTGGCTTTTGCTGGGGAGGACGGAAATTTGGCCGAGTCCCGGGGTGGGGTGTGTGTGTGTGGGGGGGGGTCGGCTCTCAGCTTTGAGAGAGTTTCTTAGGTCTCAGTTTTGGAAAAGATGCGCTAGAAATAGGGGTTTACAGCTGTCTGTCTGTGGAGAGGTCGAACCCCCCTCCATACCTAAAATGTCTTCCCTTCCAGGCTGCGCTGCCCAGAGGGTTGGCTCTTGGAACCCAGAAACAGTAGGGTTTTCTAGACAGCGTGAGGTATAGGGAGAAATTAGGTTGCCTCCTGCCTGAACTCGGCCCCAGGCCACTTTTCCAGGGCAGGTTGTGACTGGGAAGAGAGCGAAGGGTGTTGGGTCACAGCAGCCCTAAACATTAGGAGGCACAAGTGGTTGGGTATAGAAAGACCGAGTCAGGGCGCACGGGGCTGTAAGGGCCCAGAGAGAGATGGCTGGAACAAAAGGAAGAAGGGCACAGTGAACCCTGGCTTGGGGCAGAGAGAGAGAGAGGAAACTGGGATCCAGAGGGCTAAGGTGCTGTAGGTGCGGTCTTCTCTTTAAATGCGCCTTACATCCCTATTTTCTCCCCTCTCAGAGGCCAAGTTGCAGAAGTTTGACCTGTTCCCCAAGACACTGCTGCAGGCAGGCCGTCCAGGCAGCCCGCAGCCTCCCCAGGTGAAGCCCTTATCTCCCGACGGCGCGGACTCAGGCCCCAGGACGTCGTCCCCGGAGGTGCGGCCCGGCTCGGGCTCGGAGAACGGCGACAGCGAGTCCTTTTCGGGCTCACCTCTGGCCCGGGCCTCCAAGGAGGCCGGCGGTAGCTGCCCGGGCAGCGCGGGCCCTGGAGGCGGCGGTGAGGAGGACAGCCCGGGCTCCGCCAGCCCTCTGGGCTCCGAATCTGGTTCTGAGGCTGACAAAGAGGAGGCCGAGGCCGCGACGGCGCCAGGGCTGGGCGGAGGCCCGGGTCCACGCCAGCGGACGCCGCTGGACATCTTGACGCGGGTCTTCCCGGGCCACCGGCGCGGCGTCCTGGAGCTGGTGTTGCAGGGCTGCGGCGGTGACGTGGTGCAGGCCATTGAGCAGGTGCTAAACCACCACCGCGGGGGCCTGGCGGCTGGCCTGGGCCCTGCCGCGCCCTCGGATAAGGCCTCGGCGAGCGCCTCAGCTGCTGCGGACGACGCATGGCCTGGCCGCGTTGACGTCGCGGCCGCTGGGGGCCCGGGGCTGCCCGCGCCGCTGCAGGCCGGGCCCGCCGCACCCCCTCACCACAGACCCTTGCTGGCCGGCGCCATGGCGCCCGGGGCGCTGGGCTCGCTGAGCAGCCGCTCAGCCTTCTCGCCCCTGCAGCCCAACGCCAGCCATTTCGGGGCCGAGGCGGGCGCCTACCCGCTGGGGGCGCCTCTCGGCCTCAGCCCATTGCGCCTGGCCTACTCGGCGGCGGCGGCGCACAGCCGAGGCCTGGCCTTCATGGCGCCCTACTCCACCGCAGGCCTGGTGCCCACGCTCGGCTTCCGGCCGCCCATGGACTACGCCTTCAGCGACCTCATGCGCGACCGCTCTGCCGCCGCCGCCGCTGCGGCGGCCGTGCACAAGGAGCCGACCTATGGCAGCGGGCTCTACGGGCCCATGGTCAACGGCGCCCCCGAGAAGCAGTAGGGCGAGGGCCCCGCAGCCCTTCGGCCCCCAACGCAGATCCGGCCTCGACCCCGCGGGCCGCAGCCCCTGTGCCCTTGGCGCTCTCTGGCTGGGCTGGGGCTTCCTGCTCCCCGAAGTCTGCAGGTTTTTTGGGGGGGGGCGCGAGGGCTGGCAAAGGGGAGCAGCTACAGGCGCAGGTGCTCTCGCGGGAGCCTCAGCCCTCTCCAGACGCCTCCTCCAGGCTCGCACAGTCGCTTTTTGAAAAGGCCAAGGATTCCTGAGAATTCTGGGCGGTGGCCTCGCTCCCGCTGCTCCTTTAGCTGCGCTCGCCTCGCTGGCCGGCCACCCTCTCCACTCTCAGAAGGATGGCAGGATAATCCGACAGTCTCTTCTATGTCTCCCCAGGCCTTCTCTTTTAATTTTTTTTTAAAAAAATATTCTAACAAGTATAAATTTAGGATATATACATCTCTTGGCACTGAGTTGAGTCTTTGGGACACACATATATATATCGATTTCAGTTGTAAAAAAAAAAAGGAAGTTCTAAGGTGCACTTTCCTCGTTGCGGTATTTGTCGCTCTTTGTTGCTTATGCCGATAAGCATGGGTTTCCTTGGTGCAGTGTGAGTTTTTATATATGTATAAATCTATATATAATCTATACATATATATATACAAGCCAGTGTATAATGTTATAAAATGGAATTCTAAGTTATTAATTGTAATCTGTAGGTGACCTCGGTATTAACGTGAAAAACATTCAAAAACAAGCATAAAAAGGACAAATATGGAAAAAATTAGACTATGCGCACATTGTCCTTACCAGGTTTTATGGATTAAATATACTGCAAACTCGGGACGAATCCTGCCCACTGCCCTTCCCGCCTGCGGCCGGCCTCTCCCTCAGGAGCCGCCCCGTGCGCCCCTAGCAGGAACACAGCGACCGCGGCCCAGACAGAAGCGCCGGCGCGGGCGCCCTCTCCTCCCAGGACTCGCCAAACGCCCTGGCCGAAGGTCTGCCTCGAGAAACACTGCTGCAGACAACCGCTCACTTTGTGCTTTCCTTTGCATAGATATGAGTTAGAAATAAATGTTATTTTCTAAGAAAACAGCGCCGAATCCCGTCCCCCTTCTTAGGCGGCGGGTAGAAAAGATCTTTATTTTCCGCTGGGGCTGCTGTGCCAGGGAGCACCTTGACCAAGGTCCTGCCCGGCCCGGCCCTTAACCCTCGCCCTTAACCCTCGGGAAGGGAGCCCAACCTGCCCGCGGCGCCCCGAGGGGCCCACGGATCCAGCGCGGCGCGCAGCCCGGACGCACCCGCTGCGCAACTGGGAACCTGCGTCCCCCCTGCGGGCGCTGCGGCGGGGTCGCCTCTGCAGGCTCGGGGCTCCCGGACCCAGGGCGAGCCTTCCCAGGGCCCTCGTGAGGCCATCGACACACTTCCTGCTGTCCCCGGGGCGCAAATTTGGGTACAGTCTGAGCTGCACAGTGCGCGCCTCACTTCTCAGGTTCAGAGCCGAGGACGGTGGAGACGGCTTCCTGAGAGAGCTGCGACTGTTCTCGTCGCAGGGCTGGCGGTCCGGCGCTTCTTTGGGGGTGGTGGGCTACTGCCTTCGCCTGAAGCGGCGTAGGGAGAGTGGCTGTGAAGCTGCTACCCCACACCCTTTTTATCTTCCTTTCTTGCGCAGAGCTGATCAAGTTAGGGGCTCCGGGGCTGACCCCCTTCTCCAGCCTCTGGTCCCTCCGCTCCCCGCAGGGTGGCCCCCCCTCCCCAGGAAACAGGGTGCCCCCTCCCCTAGGCCGGACCGGCGACGTCCCAATGTAAACTTCAGTGGCCGGCTCGAGTTCCGCCAGGCGGCGAAACTTAATACCAGGACAAGAAAACGATTTAATAAAGAAGGGCTTTAATGGGAAACTAATTTGATTGAGTTGCCTAATTCCACTTTAATTGGAAAGGGGGTTTGGCTGTTTGGTTATAAAGTGCGAGGGTGACAATGAAATGGAAGTGGGGGGAGAAGGAGAGAAGAAAGATTCGGGCAAGAGCGATGGATGGACATGAGAATGAAGATAGGAAGGAAAGAGAAAAAAAAAGAGGGAAGGGTTTTGAAGAAGAGAGGAAGGCGGAGAAAGTGCTCAGCTTCTAGAAGCTGGGAACTTTCTGGCCTAGGCTGCAGCGTCCTCTCGGCCCCCCCACCCCCATCCTAAGTTTCCCGAGGTCTCCCGGCCTCGCCCAGCCCGGGGGTTTCCGCCGTCCCTTTCCCGGCCCCCTCCCACCCCCAACTGCACCCCAAATGAAGCTAACGCCGGACTGGGGCTCTCCTGTCGGGAGGGACCTGCTCTGGATCTCCTGCCGCTGTTAGAGCCAAACCCAAGGCAGGCGGCCTACTCGTTCCGAGAGCATCGGGAGCTTCGCAGATGTGGAGATGGTTATTTGTAGTTTATCCTCACAGCAAACTGGGGCGAATCCGGTGAGTTATTCATTACCGGCCCCATTTTACAGTGGAGGAAAATGAGGTCCAGCTTGGTCCAAGGGCTTGTCGATGTCTGGCTCGCCCTTCCGGCTGCACGCCTATGATGGGAGATCCGCGACACAGCCCAGAGAGGGACGCGGTTTTGAGAAAGCCCACATGGCCTCTGCCCCCAGCTCGGGGCTCGGGAGCCGTGGAAGCTCGAGAGCTGGGTGCTGAGGTTCCCAGGCTCCGCTGCTCCCTGGCCTGGGGAGCCGCGTGGAAGCCCCTGGTGTCTGGCGAAGTCCGCGCCCACGCCGCCCCTGGGCCCACTCCCCGCTGTGTGGTTAGAAGAGGCGCGGGCCCCACACGAAAGGTCCAGGTCGCTCATCCAGGCCCGGAGAAGCCCTAATCAGAACCGGACGCTCTCACGCCCGGTTGAAGGTGGCAGAGAGGTGGGAGGTGAGGGGCCTCCCCAGGCGGCGGAGGGGACCGCGCGTGGCATCCGCGCCGGGGAGGAGCGTGGGGTTCCCCGGGCTCGGGCTCAGGCGGCGCTCGCTCGGCTCGCTCTCGGAGAAAGAAAGCAGCGGCCGAGTCTGCGTTATTTCTTTTCCTCCCTAGAGGGGACCCAGAACGGGAGTTCCCTCCTTGACCTCCATTGTCCGCGCTTATTTCCAGATTCTCCCTGAAGCCGGCCTGGGCCCTGAGTCCTGGGTCCTAGGAAGACACAGACTGGGCAGCTGGGATAGCTCGGTTGTTGGGGAGAGAGGCTGTGAGAAGAAGTCGTCGTTGAAAAATTATTTTCCTCCATCTCTTCCTCCTCCTCCAGCTCCACACACTACTGAGCGCCTACTGTGTACCAAGTCTCTACTAAGCCTGTTCTCCAACAGGATCCGGGTCGGAGTGGGATAGAGAACCAAGAGCTGAGAGCCAGCGTCTGCCTCTGGCTGGGGTTATTCGCTCACGGATTACTGAAGTCGGTAAATATTTACGAAGTGCGTATTTACCGTGTGCCAGACCCAGTTCTAGGGCCTTGGGATACACCAGTGCAGCGCGGGCTTCTTCCCAGCCGCCTCAGGGTGCTGGGGGAAGGAAGGGTCGGCCTGAGGGTCCAGGGAGGGGACGCTCTGCTCCGAGCCCAGAGGGGCGGCGGTCGGGGGGCTGCCCCGGGAAGGCGAGCGAGGCCCGCGCTTCACGTGGCTTCCGCTCCTTTAAACGGTGCTAATAGTAGGGCCTGTCTCTGTGGGCACTGCGAGGATTAAATGAGATCATGTGTAAAAAGGTCTTAGTTCAGTGCTTGCTCACTAGATGTTCACTATTACAATCCTCATATTCTTCGGCGTGGGCTAATATTGTCCCATTTAACAGAGAAGAAACCCGCACAGAGGGGTTGAGTGACTGGGGCAAATCGGGTTTGTCCGTCCTCTCAAGGTTATGGAACTCACGGGGGAAGACACGTTGCCCAGTGCAGGGGCCACAGAGACAGAGGGGAGAGTGCGGTGCCGGGAAGCTCCTGAGGGGAGAGGACTCTGGCCCTGAGCCCAGGGGCGACTGACAGCAGGTGGGAGGGAGCTGGGAGGGAGGGAGAGGAGGAGCAGGAGCAGGTGAGTCAGGCTGCTGAGACTGCACGGGTCGGGAGCCAAGTGCAGGGAGCTTTCAGTGCCTGCGTTTCAGGTGAGCGGGCAGAGAGCTGTAGACAAACCTGGTGAGATTCGAATTTGGATTTCGTAGATTATTAAGAAAAAGGCTGAATCCCTCTGAAGAAAAGCCATGAACAATAATAGTGCTGAAAAATGGTCAGTGGCAGTAGGAAGATGGGGAAAGATGCCCTTTGGGAACTCTGGGGCCCAGACTCCAGCCCTGTTGGTTCAGCAGCGAGGGCAGTAAGTGAAGAGGAGGGCTTTTGGCTGATTCCCGGGTGTCTGGCTGGGGATGGCACGAAGAGCTGTGAGCCCCCAAGCGGAGACAAGGTTGGGGGGTGAAGGGAAAGCTCCATGTTCAACATGGAGTTGGGAGGACTTCTAGGGCCTCTGGGTGTGGACATCAAATGGCAGAGACAGTCCACACGTGGACCTCTGCAGGGCCTTGGGAGGGGGGAGGCGACTACTACATACCCTACCCTAACCCATCCCCTGCCCTCCTGGCCCTGGGACAGCAGACGCTCTTAATGGAGGCCAAGGGTCTAGGAGGCTTGTTGAGACTCCAGACATTGAGGTTCTGCCTCTCACTGATTCTTTTTATGCTAAGAGGACTGGCCTCTTAAAATCATTCTCTAAAAATTGTGTACCCAGGAAAGATCACCAATGAGGCTCCTCACCTGTACAGCTCCTTCTCATGGTGTTGTACTTTGTGCACATGGTCAGGTGACTTTTTTTTCTTAAAGCTTCACGTACCATTAGAAACTACACCTGAGGTGGGTATGGTGGCATGCACCTGTCATCACAGCACACTGGGAGGTGACTCAGGATAGAAACTTGGAGCCTAGCTCGGGCAATTCAACAACTCATCAAGACATTATCGAAATACAATACACTCAGTGCAAAGATGCTGGGTTCACTTCCCATTACCAGGAAACACACACACACACACACACACACACACACATACACACTCACACAGGGGAAAAATACTACATCAAGCATTGCCAAAACTACCCAATTTAAGTCACACCCTTCTAGCTGCCTGTCCCTGTTAACTATTGTATAACAAATGACCCTCAAACTTAGTGGCTAAAAACTAGAAATATCATATTATGTTAGATTTTATGGACCTGGAATTTGGCTAAGGCTTGGCTAGGTTGTCTTTGGCTCCATGCGCCTTTGATGGCATCCATCTATGGATGTGTTGGCCTGGAGGGTCTGAGGCAGCTTCAGTCACAGGTCTGATGCCTTGGTATGAATGCCTTGGGAGGCTGAGTTCAGCTGAACAGTTTACTGGAGTGTGTATATGGAGTCTATCCCTCAAGGTGACCTCAGGTATCAGACTCTTACTCACTGACCCAGTTCTAAGGCAGATATTCCAGCAGAAAGTAGAAGCTTATAGCAGTATAGGTCAAAGAGTGTGACAAGACTCTTTGCAACTGATTGACATCCAAGTCATACCGACTTGAAAAAGAGACAATTGATTTATCTTCCTTCTCTTCCTCCTCTTACAACCAAAATGTTCAGCGTATCTCAAAAATAATTGGAATGAGGTGTGTTATGGTTTGGGTCTGGATGTTCCCCCAAAGCCTCATGTGGTCATAGGCTTGATCTAGAATGTGTGAATCAATATTCACCATGCAGTGCTAGGCTCAAGGACACTAGGATTAAGGGTGTGAGTGCTACCTGCCATAAGTAGTCTGAACAAGATAAAAGGGGCAGGGAGACCCTGGTAATTCTCTCCCTTTGCTGGCTTGTGTGTGCCATGTCGTTTCTGCTCTGTCATGCCTGTTTGTCATCCCTGCCTTGGAGTCAGCTGATTATGGACTGAAACCTCTACAAACTGTAAGCCAAATAAACCCCTTCCCCTCTAACTTCGGGTGTCAGGTATTTTGTCTCAGCAAGGAGAGAAAAGTAACCAACACAAAGTGCTCAAATGCCACCCATTGAGTTGCTT